CAGCATGAGACTATTCGCAATTAAGGGTGGGTGAACACATAGCAAAATGACTGCAGAAACAAATGAATTCCAGTGGTCAGATAAGATCACAGGATAGACAGATACCACCCTCAATTCCGAAACATTTGGTTGAGACTGGTCATAATGTTGACATCAAATCAGCATTTGTAGTGTTGTACAAAAGCCTTCAAGGACGTATACTAAGGTTTATTGAAGCCTTGGCTATACGGAAACTGGAACCCCCTATATGTGTTCAAAAATAATTTGTCCTTACACTTAACGTAGCCTGGTAATACTGATTTACTATCCAGATTGGTGATCACACTTGTTTTTGTGTACTTTAATATTTTTCCTTTGTTATGACTTACCCTTAACCGGTCTAGTTGACCTTTAATCTTCATGTATAAGTGTTCTTAACAATTACATGTGTGATCAGATTGTTCGAAATGTATTGCTCAAATATATCTCATAATTTTGATAAACTTCGTCCTCTCGTTGCATTATCGAGAAGTATCATTAAACAAATACCAGGCAGTCAGTCACAACGTAGAACCTGTACGTATATACATCAGTTTAAGTTGCCGTACTCATTATCACAGAAAGATGAAGTTATCAGGCCAAATTCCAGAGCAGCCGAAGTATCAATAGTATTGTCGGTAATAGAAAATATTAGGTATCGAAGATGCAACTCGGAAAGAAAATATAAGTTAACGAAATAAGAACGAAAAAGGTTATGAAAAATTTAGAATCTCAGGATTTGGGGGAAATGAAGTATGAATACACCTGTGTGATTGCAAACGATTTTGAGCCATTTGACCAAAACTATTAGTAACGATAATCACATTGATCCCAACCAGGCAGTCTGTATCTACTAACATGGCCTAATATAATTATCAGTGACTTCATGGACTGATGCCATGTTCTGGATTGGCTTCACCTAAATTTCCTCCAGCCTACTCTTGCACCAGAAAACATCACCCGTTGAGTTGGGCTGTGATTGAGCACAGGTAACACATCCCAACTATCTCAGTCGATAAATATTTACTACCTCATCAATCGATTTGCCATCCTTACTTGGAACTCATTTGCTAACACAGGGATTGCCTACTCCGTGCTCCCAAAATACATGACCAGTGCTTCGAAGAATCTCCTGTAGAGCCAGTGAAATTTCACTGAGCCCTAGCCAAACCAACCGGCAGTTGGGTCATTGAATATCGGACAAATCATCGATCCTCGTCATTGTCAAGGACAACCAACGCGTATCAGTTAATCGTACGCCATGGGCTGACCCATTCGGCAGTGGTCTTACTTTCGCTTGTATCTACTTCAAACAATATATTTCTGTAATAACGTCCTCTGTGTTCAACATCCTTCAAAGTATCTATAGTACCTTGATAAGTTAATGAGGTAGCCCACGTAAGATGCTGACCACGAGGTGTGACTTCGACGTTAGATGGTTCGTCACACCATTCCCGTCTAACTCGAGTAGGCTTCCTATCACTTGACGTAGATCATCTACGTTGGTGATCTACACTCCGAAAATCACCCACTTTCAACGACCATGTTCCACACCGATGAAGTAGAAGGGACTTCTGCGCAGCAAACTCTTTGGTTGGTAAACAGATATCTGTCAACCCCCACGGGTAACATAAGCTGGTAAAAGCCAATCGAGCATTCTTAATCCGTGAGGAGACTTTAAGATACGTGAGCAGTCTATAAATTCACCCATTCAAGTACTGACAAAGTTAATCAAAAATGGAGAAAGTGGACAACACTAACGAACACTTGAAATGATTAATTGCGACGATGGTTTGTCATAACCTCTTACTCGACTATTAGTGTTCTATTTGAGTGCCTGTACAATATAAGTGTACTTCTCCGAGGTCAAGGAATTCAACTGTAGCGGTAAATAAATCCCCAAAATAAATAACTCTGTAAGTTTTCTACATTGGATGCTGACCACATTAGTTTTAATGGACTCATCTAGCTGAAGGCGCTCGGTCAAGCATCCGCACCAGATCACGTGCGGGGACGCCGTGCTCAACATCTACTGCAATCGCTAGCCGGATTAGTTCAGACGATCGTCGATATATTGATAGATTATCAAATATATCTTCAAACCTCCTCGCTTTTGTTTTTTGATTTCACTTGGTGGGTACGCTTCATATTAGGTGTTACTGGTTAAAGCGTTGTCAAACTCCGAATACTTGTGCCATCTTCACAACTATATTCGAATATAAAAAAGTATGTTCATGTTCGGGAGTCTACCGTAGGGTTATTGTTTGGTCTGTAGGATGTATAGGTGTATAGGATGACACACATTACTTGTAAATGCCACATCCTATCTGTACTTTCCGAAATTTAAATGCTTCAAGAATAATCGAATAATTATCTGTAATCACTGTCTTCCAGATATAGCAGATACATTTGATTGTATTTGGTAGAATATTGAATAAGTTTCCAGAATGCCAGAAGCTTCAGGGGACAGAACTACGCTGGTTCAAATATTCAATACATACGCAAACGTTTCCCTTAAATCACGACACAGGTACCAGGTAAATAAAAGTCTTGAATACTTGTGAACAAAATATCCATAATCAAAGGACTCTCAATCTTATAGTAATAGATGAATTATTTTACTAAATTGTAGTCCTCGAGGATTTTTAAATTAATCAAGAGCCCATTATTAGGATAGGTGGAGATCAATTAATGCAGTGAATGGGGTAAACAACTATTCATCCATAGCGAAGATAGTGTTTCACTGACATTTTATCATGACAAACAGTTATTATATTAACGACGTTAAAATGGGTGTCGACTTCATAATACTAAATTTCTCAGTTTTATTTCATGTTCTTAGGTTGGTGAATATAGCTATTCTCTTTACTCTTGGAGCAAGTGAGAGCGAAAAAACTTCATCATTTGATCTCGTAAGGAGAACTGACAGAAAGACTTGTAGAATTATATTCTAGTTTGGTTTTAGTGCATTGGTCCTCATTACTACACTAATAGATCTAACCCCAAAATTGTAGATTTGTCATGATCCGACTACCTAATCCATAAGATCTTACGTGGAAGTCACAGCTTGTCTATTCACTACACTTATGTTCTCATAATATTTTTATGAATAGTAATAACACTCTGACTCGTAACGTGACAATCATCACTACAATGTTTAACACTTCTGAAGAACACATTTGCGCTGGGGATAGAATAATTTGTTTCAATGAAAATGGGCACTTGTGGCAACGATGACCACACATGCAAGGCTGAGCCTTGTAATATCGATCAGTTGTTCCTGCGTTCCTCGTTGTTGACCTTCTCTTGATGTAGTATGTTGAATGTAAATATTTCCAGTGATTATGTGCTTGGACATTATGATCATGGAGTTAAGAATCAATACCACTACAGACTTAAACAAGTGAGATCCATGGACACTAACAATATAGATACATATTTCAAAGTTTGGTGGTACAACGGTTATATACCAGATATCTGAGGAGAAAACAGATGAGTGAAATACAGTACATTTAATTCCAGAGTTGAAAGCTCATAACTGAGGTAAAAAATGAATTAATAGGAAAGTGAAGCTAGTAAACTACTTTTCCTTTACTTAGTAAAATTGTAACCGTTACTTTTCGAATAAGCAATCACGGTGTAAGAGATCCATCTTGAATAATGGACTTCCTTACTTGCTTACGCCTGTTACTCACAATGGAGTATAGACCGCAGACAACATTCTCCAACTCACTCTGTCCAGGGCCTTCCTTTCCAGTTCTATCCAATTGTTGTTCATTCTTCTCATGTTGGTCTCCACTTCTTAGTGTGATGTGTTCTCTGGTCTTTCTGTCCCCCCTTGGACATGAAGATTCCAAGTGAGGGCTTGCCTTGTGACGCAGTTGAATGCTTTCCTCAATGTGTGTACTATTTACTTCCAGCACTTCTTCCTGATTTCTTCCTCCACTGGGATCTGATTTGTTCTCTCCCACAGTAGGTTGTTGCTAATAGTGTCTGGCCAACGGATCCGAAGTATTTTGCGTAGACAACTGTTAACAAACACCTGTATCTTCTGGATGATGGCTTTTGTAGTTCACCAGGTTTTCGCCCCATACAGTAGAATTGTTTCGACATTTGTACCTTGGTGTTGCTTGAAAGTTATTTTGAGTTCCAGATGTTCTTCAGTTGTAAATATGCTGCTCTGCTTTTCTCATTTCGCGCCTTTACGTATGCATCAGATCCACCGTGTTCATTAATGATGCTGACCAGGTTTGTAAATATTTTACATCTTCCAAAGCTTCTCCGTCAAGTGTGATTCGATTGTTGTATGTCGTGCTTTGTATATTGAGACCTATGTCTGCTGAGGCTACTGTCAGACTGATCATCTTCTCCTGGATTTGTTGTTGCGTGCACGACAGAGAAGCGAGATCATATGCGAAGTCTAGATCATCCAGTTGCGTACTAGCTGTCCACTGTATCCCATGCTTGCCCTCAGATGTTCACGCCTTCAAGATGCAGTCGATCACTAGGAAAGAGACAGTGTGAGAGTAGGAAACTTTGCTTAAAACTGATATTTACATCGAACTAGTCTCTCAATTGTCCTGTTCACTCCGTCAAATGCTTTCTCGCAGTCGATGAAGTTGATGTAAAGTGATGAATTCCATTCAATCGAATGCTCCACAATGATCCGTAGTGTTGGCATTCGGTCCGTACACGATCAATACTTACGGAATCCGGCCTGTTGGTCTCGAAGTTTGGCATCTACGGAGTCCTTCATTCCGTTTAACGATACCCTGTTGAAGACTTTCCTGGTATTGAGAGAAGAGTGATACCCTTGTAGTTATCACACTTGCTGAGATCGTTTTCCTTTGTTGTCTTGATCAATTGTCATTCTATCCAGTTTATATATATTACGTATGATAGTAGTGAAGCCATTTTTTGTATGATTACGTTTTAATGCATCAAGCAACTTTGAACTCTCCCTACGAAAAAGCGCTTATTTTGCAGTTATGATGCTTTATCACTGTGACCAGGTTCAGAATGACATTCTATGATTATCATTGAATATAATTTTGTCAATATAGTTCTTTGATGATTTTTGATTGTTTTGTGGTCGAATTTTTACGAATGTAATCATAAACTTATGAAGTGAGTTGCTAGACTCTCTGGATATTCTCCTATTTAATCTTAAATACAGTGAGAAATTCGAAAGTATTTTTTTGACCACTTTCTGCTGAATAATGCCTAAACGTTCAGACTCACCGAATACTTCATCTGCATGTGAACCATTCACACCATACGGGATCGCACCTGGACTAGTCAAACAAGTCAGAGAGAAATTTCAAAGCGAAATTTCAATGAACGAACTATCTAAAAATATACATTCTGGAGTCAAGCACCATTCAGCTACAGCCCGCCTTACGTTTGCTTATCAAAACATGCTACACAATGACAATGGAATTCAGAGACACAATACTTATCCTAATAGGAGAATCCAAACTTCTGGTAGAGTTTCTGAACTGCCTACTACTGCTAGCTTAACAGTTGACAAAGTAAGTGGACGACCTCGAGCTGAAAGTTTTTTGGACACTTTGAAGTCAAGTAGGGAGAGTCCTGAATCTCAGGTTAGCTTGAGAGAGAGTGGCAAAAGTACTCCACCAGTTCACCCTAATGAATGCAGAATACAAACTGCAATATGCGGACATCGAGTTGAAAACACAAGCAGATACAACCATGTACAATCTAATATATCAAGCGTTGAACGGGATGAAAATCGTCCTAAAAACCAAGATTTGCTGAATTTCAACGAAAATCAAAAGAAACCAAAAGAATCAGAAGCATCTTCATCTACAAAGTGCAACACACGAACGGATTTTAAACAACCAGCGGTACTACCCAAGCCTTCAAAAAGTGAGTTAAGCAAGGATTCTCTTGTTAATTTTATGATACCTAGAGGGTACCAAGGCAGCAAGCGAACGAGTCAATGCGTATATAATGCTGATGAACATTCCTTTACTCAAAAATCAGAAAATTCTCCTAGTGAAAGGGCAAAAAGCAGAAGCTTACAAGGTGGGTATACTCTGTTCAATAACCAGGCATATCCTGAAAATCCAGGTCATAGAAATACGACTATTAAAATAAACACAAGAAACCCTACAATTGCCGACCCGTTTGCAAGTCCCAGCGACAGTTTTCCTAACCATACAACAATAAAATCAAAGAATGCATCAAACAGTAACTCAGCCTGCGATTTGTGTAGAAAGGATAGTGAAGGTGATAAGAATAAAGTTTTTTCAACGTTTAAAAAGTATAATAGACCTTCAGAAAGTATAGCCCGTAGAAAAAGCGCCGCAGATGATGCAACGCAAGCTGTCACAGAACCTGTTCACAGCAATTCAGTTTGTCCCTGTTCTTCACACCTTAATGGAGACCCTTGTCATACAACCCAATCGGTAATCGTAAATGGGCTGAAAACTACCAAACCTATACCTACATCCGTAACGCCATCATCTGTATCATCTACTTTGCAATCTTTTCACAATAGTCAGTCTGAAAGAAACTTTTCACAAGTAAGAAGAAATCATTTCCAAGGTGAACATAGTAGCTACTCTGAAACAGAAAACAGTTCGTTGTCTCTCATAAAACCTGAGAAACCACATCAAGATTTGAATGGTAAGAACGACACAGAGATATTTACTGCAGTTAGAACAGTGCCATATAAGAATTCAGTGAGCACTGAAAAAAATAATTCGCTCGGGCATAATAGTAAATTTAACTTGACCACTGCAACGCAGTTGTCCATCAAAGGTTCTGAATTGCCTGGGAACATCTCTTCCAAGAAAGTGAATACCTTGCCCACAGATAGTAAGGAACCGAATAAATCCACGATTGCTGATATAAACCTTCCTAGTATATCAATAAACGGACTTGGTGAAACATCTATGAACATAGCAGTTGATCAAACCCATACCGAGGACGCAAAGAAAACCTTTCCGGGGGAAAATAATCCACATCATAAGGCAAATGAAAAAATGAGTAATTTGCCGTACCATAAGCGACAGGTGAACTATACTATTTTAGACAGTGTTATGGGTGAAATGGAGCAGCTATTCTCGGGAAAGCAAACAAATACACAGAGAAGATTGTCGAGAATACATAGTTTTGCCAGAGAAAAGGCTATGCAATGCAGAGAAGAAAAAGAAAATAACGAACATAATTATGCAAACGATAGTAACCCTGAAAAAACGTCAGAAGCAAGAGGTTTAGATAATAAATCTACAGCTAACGGTTTAGACAATTACAACAACGTTGAAACAATTTCTTCTGTTTCTCAGCCCAAGAATGAAAGACAGTCCGAGAGCTTTCAAGCAGCATTTCGAGCAGTTGAAAAGCATCTTAAGTTATTTTCTGGAACTGAAGATTCTCAGAGCCTAAAGCCAAGTAAAATATCAAATGATATACCTGAAAATATTATTAAAAATGGAAACAACTGTCAACCTGTTTTCCCGGCGAAAGTAAAGCATCCAGCAGACCCATGCAATGTAAGTTGGCTTTTTTTGGTCCAAATATATCATTACATTTTGTAACTTGCAAGAGTTAGCCGTGGTACATACGATAAAATATTTTACTCTACAGAGCCTTGCAAGAAAGTCCGATGGTTTAAAATGTCATTCAAATAGAATTTCATGGAATTCTAATAGAAAAAGAGAAAATGTACTGAAATGAGTAAACTGTGACTTTATTTTTGAGAACGTATCGCCTTGATTAGATAATAGTAGCAAAAGTTGGGATATTGGAATCAAACTTACGGCCATATTCTGAACACATGTTTAGAATGTTACGAGTTTATCTTGAATACAAACTTTTCTCCATATATTCAAATAACAACTAACTTGAAAAACGCTCAGAAGCTACACACTTTAAAAAAATTTTCAGATAAGTTATATTTATCACGTACATTTTTAAGTCAGAAGTGGTGGTTTTCTTTAGATTTTTATTCCGCTTTTGTTTTAAAACTTGTTCGGTTTAAACTGTAGAGTGACTGAATTTCATTAACGATAAGTATCGTTTTCAACACGTTTAGAACTTGCTAAGTCGCTTTGAAGTTCTGATATTCGACTTTTCGAAATCTGTTTTTTTGGGGGTTTTATAAACACCTAAGTTACTTGAAAAAACGTACCTATCGATATGCTTGAAATAACTCAGTAGTAATAAGTGGCTTATTTACTTCTACTCATCAGGTTATGTATGGTACTTTGTGCATATATTTATAAGTAATCCATCATTTTAGTACCCAGTTATCATAGTTTTAGGTCGAGAACATATTATATCAGCTACCTACCAATGTTATAATATGTTTAGCATTCTGCTTTTAATTTTACTGATTAAGATTGATATTGCATAAGTGTACTGAAGTTTTTAATTTCACTATATTTACAAAGCGAAATGACACTCTTTACTCAGTGGTTCGTTAATAATAAGCTGATTTCAAAAGAGGTAGAGCATTTCGGAGTGTTTCCATAAACCAAATGTGCCTTAAAGTGTTCTCATTGACAATGTGAGTTAAGCGCCAGATGCTGGTAAATCACTTGACTACGTAAATTTATTTTGTGACTTTTCTCAGTTTTCATTTCCTTATTTTATCACTTTTCAAAATGTTTTCGTTGTTAAGTTGCCGGCATCAATCATCATGAGATGAATTCGGTACTCAGTTATCATTTTCAATTCAGAAAACTTCCTTTTTTAGAAGTTCAGATTTTTCATTGAGATACTATCTTGATGTATGTTGGCACTGACCACTGTCCATAACTGTCTATGCTCATCAATGTGGTTAGGATAATATTCATTGATTAGGATAATAAAAAAATGCAACGACGTCTTTATTGACTGCTTACCTAGTTTCAAAGATAAAAATACGCTAACGTGATTATATTTTCTTGTGTATTTTCAATTTCAGAAAATATAAATATAGTGATCTCGATAAATTAAGAATGTGAATCTTTTAAATATTTTTGCCCGTAAAATTAAATATGCGTTAGTGGATTACTAAACCGATGTACATATTTAGTACGTCGCAAATTATTTGTGGTTACCTTAGACAGACTGTATACCACATTCTTATTGTAAGTATAGCAAATTAAATAATTAAAATAAGGTTCGATTAGATTTAAATGAAATCGATTCCAGAATGATACTCGTTAGTTAAAGAGGTTTAGTTTCATATATTGAAGCTTGAAAGCAAGATCTGGTAAATTTTCAGTGATTAGTTAGCTATGTTTCTGAAGTATACGTGGCATATCTCTATCATTGGGACTAAACGGTGATTCACCAGGAGATCGTTAATTGATCTCTTTATTTTCGCAATTCCCGTAGGTTTTGAAAAAAAGTCCTTATCACGAGTAGGTTTTAGCGTAGATATTTGAAGTCAGGATATAATAATCCACGAAATACCTTGAAGTCATAAATACCAATCGAGCAGAGTTGTTATTTTGTTTTCCGAGATTATGAGTGACATTGCGCTGGAAATCCTTTGATAGTGAACTTAGTTACATACGTTCCTATAAAGCAACCATGGCTTCAAAGTTCCAGAGAGCAGGCAACGTTTATTGTTTCTCAAAATTGACTGCAATGATATGTAATATGGGTTTGCTGTGATTAAACTTAAATATTAGATACTTGCGAATATTATTTTGATGATACTATCATAGAACCTTTTTCATTTTCTTATTGGTTATACGAAAAGTTTAGAAATATAGTTAATACGTGGTACATTATTTTTAAGTTTGGAATTCAGCTCTTATATGAAGGTTGAGATTAATTATGTTTATTTCTGTTAACTTAAATTTAAACACCAATTGATTGTTATATATATCTTGATTTAGAGTCGTTTCTTTACGAAACCTTTTTTTTCTATAAACGTACAAGTCGAAAATATTAGTATTTAGAAACCAGAGCACTTCTCTGGTATCTGTCAAATTTTATTTTAAACTTTCACCATTGATTAACGAAAACCGTAGTGGATTCTATTTTAATAAATTCTGTCTCTAGCCATTTAAAGCTTTTACTTATCTCAGTGTAAAAACGGAATTCAGTAACCCACGATTGATGATGTCATATGAGGTGTATAGTGGTCCATAGAATTTATCACAAACTGATCATTTAATACTGTATCTAAAGATTTTAAACAGTTTATGTGGTTTTATCGAAATATTATTTATAATTATTCTAAATTGTCCTCGAAGACAAAACATTTTTAACTGTTCAATGTTTGTTGTCCTCATGTAGATTGATGAATTAATTATTCAGTCACAGACCAGAAAAAAAGTAGATTAAAACTAGTGGTGGTCTACATATATGATAAATTAGAATAATATAAAATGGCAAAAGATTCACTAACTTATTTAATATACCTGCCTTTATTGCAATCGTTGAAATAATTAATTTTTATTTGTTTAAAATAATCCTACGTTTGAAGTAAATGTTTATTTAAGCATAATTTACTATAGTTGAAAAACAATTGATAATTACAAAAACCAAGCATACTGTTTTCTAGTAGATACTATTGTTTTATATATTTTGAGCTGACGTCGAAAGATATCACTCATTTCTGCTAAAATTAACCGATTTAAAGTCTTGGTACGTACTTACCGTATATTTGTTAAGCTCACTGTATGCAGGTTTTATAACCGATAACTATCAATGTTGCGACATTAACTTGAAAGATTTCTCGCTTCAGTTCCAATTAGTAGGTTAATTGTCTAGTCATTAATCTTATAAAATTAAAAGAACTGTATGGTGTGGAAATAAACAGTGTTTTAAACTAAGAGTTTATTTATAATAACATTAGCTTTCATTAGCCTTTTCATTTTTAAAACAACATAGATATTTGGCGTAAATAAGGTTTTAGTTTTTCTCATTAAATCATTTGACTCTTAAAAACTAGATTTTTTTTCAAGGTGGAATATACTACAAAATACCGTTTTAGTGAAACGCCACTTAAACTTTGAAGATGAATGATACACTTTTGGTGGTAATTAAAGAATTCTGGTAACCGCTTGTTATATGCCAAGTGATAATAATTTACTGTGGATGCCCTGGATTTGTAGGGTTTTAAATAATTTACAAGTAAAAGTCAAAAAAATGTACGTTGAATAGCTTCATCTAACTTTTAAAATCTGAGAGCGATTTCATTTCTTTAATATAACATTAAAGAATATGACTTTCCTTAAAATCTACTCCAATAGGTTTTCTTGTCAGCAACTATACATTCGATGTCTGTAGGAAGTGAGCTTTGAAAATAGACAGGTGGTTTAATTTTTGGTAATTAAATACACAATGCCAAAAAACCTTTATTTAATTATTTCCTTTAAATGTCAATAAAAATTAAACAATTCAATGGCAAATCGACATTGTAAACCAATGTATACACTTCACTTTCCAATGAAAGGATTCCATTCAAGATTACGTAATCAACAGCACAGGCGTTTTAAGTGGAATGATTCCCCAGCTAACCTCATCAATTTCATCTTCACCTGTAGCCGTTTATATAGGAAATAATAATTTGGATTCACTCCCACTAACAAAAGTCATCAAAAGTAGGGCAATAATTAAACCTCTTCAAAGGAAAAATGAAAATATATTCAAATTTCGAGCACACAGGAATACTCTGTTGTGCAATCGAAAGTTGAACCAAAAGAATCCTGGACCAATTCTTCTCAGTGATAAACGTGAAAAACATGTGACATTTCTAGGTGCAGAGTACATTACGATCTATGAGTTATCAAACAAACTGGAAAGCAATATTTCTGAGGTAAGTTTACATGAGAATACACGCAAAACTGAATTTGTTAATAAGTATCAACATGAGAAGGACAGTTCAACATCTAATTTTAATTCCAATTCGAATATAAAAGACATTACAGAAGAAATTGATAATAAAGATGAAGATTCTTTAAATCATTTAGATAAAAACAATGTAGATAATAAAGATGGCTTACATGTTAGTCCACGTGACAGGTGTGATACACTGAACCTCCACCAAATAAATAATCAACACTCAACATACAACAAAAACAGAGAAAAACTAAGGTTTCAGTTGGAAGCAATTTTTAGCAAAGTAACTGAAAAACATTTAGATACCATACTAAAGGAAAAAAGTAATGATAAAATAACTACTCATTATAAAAATTCCAATAACAAGGAGCGGAATGGACAACCACAATACTGTGAGAACTATCTTACTCGTAATCTTTTATATCATGAGGAGCTAACTGATTCCAAGTTAATGAACAACCGTAGTGTTAACAATAATGAATCAAACTACAATCAACATGAAAACTTAAGAATGCTTTCTACACAAATTACGAAAGTTGTTAATGAACTAAGAGAGCTTCTATGTGGAACCTGGCCATTGAAATCCAGTCACATGTTAGATGTACAAAAATTTGCATGCCAGAAAAGTTTGGAGTATAGACAAGAATACAATGAGCTATCAGCTTCTCAAAAAAGTCGGCAGATCCAAATCTCATCGTTAAGAGAAAAA